TAAGGGCCGTCATGAGGCGTTCGTTGCTGCTCGGAAGCGCTTTGGCATATCCCAGTGTTGGTCACAAAATGGATATGTTGTGGTGCTTGGGTCCGATGGCACGAAGCACCGGGTGTACACCGTGGCTGAAGTGATCGCCATTCCTGATGCAGCGTGTGGTGTTCCTACTACCTCATCTTTGACTGCGACGACGGCGGTGACGACAGCTGCGGCGGCATCTTCTGCTCCTAAGCCCTGTGTTACTACTGCTAGGGCTAGGAAGACGACTAAAAATGAAGGTGGCGTGTTTTTCTTGTAGTTTAGCTTTTACTCATGTACTCCAGCAGCTCAATACATGTATTATTTGTAACTTTTGGTTATCAGGTATTAATTTAGAATTCTTTGCCATATTATATTTCAATGACATCATTTCTAATTGGTTGCACTAGTTTGAAGACTGTTTCTCAAATTATTTTAATTATTCCACATTACAGGTATTTAGATTAATTGTTTATCCTAATTTCTTCTTTCGTGTTTTTTATTTTTATTGTTTACTTTAAGACTGACAGTTGTTACCTGTAACCATAGATTACTGTTTCAATACTAGACTAGAGTACTGTAACCACAGAGGCTGACAGAAGCATTCTTAGACGTATACAGAGAATTCTAAGATTCATTTTTACTTTTTATATTTTACTAACTTGGCAAAGGCGTCTATAACGATACTGCCTAGTCCGACGTTTATAATTTTTTACAATTTATTGGTGTTTGACTACAAGTTTTTTTTTGTTTTGTTTTGGGAATTTTAATATTAAACTTATTGTTTTATTTATTTAAGTTGTTGTTGTGTTATATGCTTTCTCTTTCATGCTGCTGGTGGTTGAAATTGTGTGGGTACCGTTCGATCTTGCATTTATATTTTTTATATTTTATTTTTTATTGTATATTAGTATTTATTTGTATATTTAATTAGTTTTTATGTTATCCTCAAACATTTGTAACGATAGTGATTTGTTTCTGTCCTTGTCTTCGGATGATGAGATACTTAGTGATGTTAGTTATCACAGTACAACTGCTTCTCCTTCACTCAACATCACCTTAAATTCTTGTTTCTCAGACTGTGTGAATAATTTCAATGCTATTCATATTAATGCCCAAAGCATTCCGGCTCATTATCCCGACATGCTTGCGTCATTTGAATCCCGAAATATTCATGCCATTTTAGTTTCAGAATCTTGGCTAAAACCCTGTTTGCCTTCTACTTCTTACTCTTTGCCTGGGTTTCATCTAATTAGAAATGACCGCAGTAATAGAGGTGGTGGGGGCGTGGCGATCTATCTAAGATCCTACTTTCCATTTAAAATTGTTAGTTCGTCATGTCAACCGCCTCCTGGTGATTCTGCTGAGCATTTGCTAGTTGAGGTCTCCCTGTCTCAGAATAAAATCCTACTTGGAGTTTTCTACAGTCCCTCTCTTTCTATAAACTATTTTACTTCTTTTGAATCTCTTTTAGAATCACTAGTCCCTACATATAGTCATACTATTTTGATGGGTGACTTTAACACCTGTTTACTTAAAGGCGACAATCGGGCAATAAAACTTGAGTCTATAATTGAAGCGTGTAATATGCAAATCCTACCTCTTGCTGCTACTCACAAATTTCCTAACTGTACTCCTTCCCTTCTGGACGTAATTATCGTGTCATCTTCATACCTAGTTTTCAAGCATGGACAGTGTCCTGCTGATGCATTCTCTTATCACGATTTACTTTTCCTTTCGCCTATATTATATATAAACTACGCCCTCCTAAAATCAAACCTAAATTAGTTCTGCGACGTAATTTTGGAGGAATGGATATTGACCAACTTTGCGAAGATGCTCATAATATTGACTGGTCAGTGATTGAGAGAGCACCATGCATTGACGATAAAGTGGAACTTTTCAATTCCCTTCTCACTCAGCTATATGACGTACACGCGCCAATGCATTATGTTAAACTCAAGCACTTACCTGCTCCATGGCTCTCTGATGACCTGAAAAGGCTAATTTTGAAGAAGAATGCGGCATTGTCAAAGCTTAAGAGGAAAAAAACAGAGGAAAACCTTAGAAAATACACTAAAATCCGGAATCGCTGCAACACATTGTGTAGAGATGCACAACGACGCCATATTCATTCATCAGTCGAGAACGGCGACTCATCTAGGGTGTGGAAGTTTCTTAAAACAGTTGGAGTTGGTAGAAACTCTCTTAATACTTCACCTCCCAGTGTTGATGTTGAACTATTAAATCAACATTTTTCTAATCCTTCTAACTCTTTTGATAGTGAACATAAACTGCAAACACTTCGTTCTCTTTCTGTAAGTCCGACTCCTAATTATTCTCCGTTCGTTTTTAGTCAATTTACTGTATGTGATGTTAAGAGAATCATATTATCCATCTCCTCAAATGCTGTCGGTAGCGACAGCATTAGCCGTAATATGATCGTTCCTCTCCTTGATGTTATCACTCCCATTATCACTCATTTGCTTAACGCATGTGCATCTTCCTCTAAATTCCCACAAGCCTGGAAGAGTGCTTATGTTATACCCCTTCCGAAGAAATCTAATCCCGTCAACCTCACTGATTTCCGTCCCATTTCGATTTTACCTTTCCTTTCTAAAGTCCTTGAAAAACTTATTTGCCAACAGCTGACACTTTTCCTTAATAAGCACAATTTGTTGAATTCTTTACAATCCGGTTTCCGTCCCGGTCATAGTACGGCTACTGCCTTAATTAAAGTTACTGATGACATACGGTGGAGTATGGATAATAAACAACTCACAGTCATGACCTTGCTAGATTTCAGTAATACGTTTAATACTGTTGACTTCGCTATACTGTTGAGTCTGTTGTATTCCCTTAAAATATTTCCATCAGTAATTGACTGGTTTCAAAGTTACCTCTGTTGCCGTCGGCAGTGTATTCATGTTGATGAAACTCACTCATCTTGGTGTGATATTACTGCAGGCGTGCCGCAGGGTGGCGTGTTGTCACCTTTACTCTTTTCCATTTTCATTAATTCAATTACTCATAAAATTTCTTCTCTCTACCACATGTATGCGGATGATGTCCAGATTTACACCCAGTCAACTCTTGAGAATTTGCCAAATGCAATCGCTACATTAAACAATGACTTAAATATGATTCATGAGTGGAGTCAATCATATGGCCTAAATGTCAATCCTAAAAAGTCACAGGCTATCATTTTTGGTAGTCAGAGCTTTATCTCAAGAATTGACTGGTTTTCCATACCACCTGTTGTATTCGATGGGGTTGTGATCCCTTACTTTGACAATGTCAAAAATCTTGGTGTTTACCTTGATAGTTCCTTAAATTGGAAACGCCAACTGAATGAGGTAAGTAAGAAAACCTTTGTCGCTCTTAGTTCACTGCGTCGCCTTCGATCATTTCTTCCCATTCCTACAAAAATTATGCTCGCACAGTCTCTTCTCCTTCCGATTCTCGACTATGCCGACGCAAGCTATGTAGACATAACTAAAGACCAGCTAACTAAGCTTGAGAGACTTCAAAATACTAGTATTCGGTTCATATTTGGATTGCGCAAATTTGACCACATTTCCCAATTTCGCTCACGTCTCAAGTGGTTACCCATCCAATTTCGCCGGAACATGCATATTCTTTCTATTCTGTACTGTGTGTTATTTCACCCTTCTACTCCTCCTTATCTTAAGGAGAAATTTAGTTTTGTTGGGCTTCCAGGGGAACCTTTACGCTCTTCAAGAAAACTCATTTTAAGGGTACCAACTCACAATACATCTTTCTTTAATAAATCTTTTACTGTACAGTCTATTAAGCTCTGGAATGCCCTACCTTTGTATTTACGCGAAGCTCAGACTATTGTAGTCTTTAAGCGACTTCTTAAAGAGCATTACTTGTCTCAATCGTTCGAAAATCATTAGGATAAATTATGTGATTATATAGTTTTGTATTTACTTGTTTATGTTATTGTTAGTGGTATATATTTGAGGATATATGTATGTATATATGTGTATGTGTGTATATATATGTATGTATATGTATGTATATGTATATATATATGTATATATGTGTGTGTATGTTTATGTATATACCTATGTATATGTGTATCATATTTTTTTTAATGTATTAGTTATTTACTTATATGTTATTTTATTGCATGTATTGATATTATATTAGGTATATTTATATTGCACCACCTACCTAGTACTCACTGTTTTATTCCTTTACACCTTTGGTTGCCTGGAAGAGATCGCTATGTAGCGATAAGGCCGCCAAATTGTACATGTAATCTGCTCTCTGTTATGTTATTTGTAAATTTGTTTGTGGTGTGCAATAAAGTATATTCATTCATTCATTCATTCATATTTAGGAGTTCAGCGGAAGGGAATGGCAATTTTTTTCGACTTACTGAGGATTTCAACTTAACGAGGTTCGAGTTATAGAGATTCCACTGAATATCATAACACGCATATAATTTTTTAAGTAGAGCGTGTCTATCAGCAACTTAATATTACCAAGTTTTTAAGTTTATATGTGAACTATATAATAATATAATTATTTTTAAATGTGTATTATCTTATCTAAGGTTTCGAGTAAACTTAGTGATCATATACTCTTTGGTTCTATGGCGTCCCTCTAAATATTAGTATACTCGTTGGCGCGGTCTAACAAGGAGACATTGACGTCTCCATATAGAGACGCCGGACTTTTAAGGGTAAGAAATTTTCTTACTCGTACAACTTCCCTCTGGAATCAACTACGACCAGAGATTGTTCCGGACTTATACGACTTAGGGACCTTCAAGAAAGGAGCCAACTTCTTTTTAACCCGGGGGCACTCGCTACTGGGTAAAAAATACCACAGAGTACTTAAATTCTAAGCTTTATTGTTTAAGGGTAAAAATTACCCAGTAGTGACTGTTTTCGTTATATTATTTTTCGGTTTGCTAATGAACATTTTTTTTGTATTAGTGCTTTTTCACAATGGCTTGTCCACTAAAGAAGAATACAATAGCACAATTGCTTATAGAGGAAGACAATGAAGAAGAAATTGTGTCGGAAAAAGAAGATTTTGAAGAACAGAGTGAGCATAAAAGTGAAACGGAGCAGGAAGCAAATGATTCAGACACACCCTCAGATTTAGAAGAAATTTTCCACCCTCGTCGGCCATTAGAGTTAGATCCACAGACTTAAAATTAAGAGATTTATAAAGAATATTTAGAAAATGTACCACTGAAGTATCGTAGACTAGGGAAGTTTATTGGAAAAGATAAAAGAACTGAGTGGCAAGTCCGCGAGCTACCACGGCGTGTGTGAACGAGATCTCATAATATTATTCTACACTTGCCGGGACCCATTGGCGAAGGAAAACGTTGGTCGTCTATGTTAGAAGCCTGGGATCTTATTTTCTAGTCTTTCCTACAAAATAAATCCATTATACAGACATGTATATTCAAAATTTGAAATCTAACTACTCAAGAGAACGTGACTGTAAGCAAACGGATATTATTGAAATAAGAGTTCTTTTTGGATTACTTTATTTGTGTGGACGACCGCGAAGTGGTCATGCAAACACAAAAGATTTCTGGGAAAAGGATGGAAGTGGTAGCGATAATAATAATTTCATTTATTGGCTTAAACATGGTACATTAGAGGTGACAAATATTGAATATTGTATATAGTCCACATGTTTACCACATCTGGCATGCGAAAATTATTAATTAAACGAAAAGACATAGTCATGTACCTACATTGATTAATTTAAAATAAATGAATATAAATTAAAAACGTTAAAACTACAATCATTATTACAAGCAAAGAATTTAAATATGCATTACTCATTTAAATCAAATAAAATTAAAATACAATCAACATGTCAATCATTATAAAAAGTAAAAATTAGAATGTGAAAAGAGTACATATACAAAATCTACAGATTACACAAAAATAGTCTAAAAGAATACATTAATGTCAAGTTCAGGCAGCAAGATTATTCATTTAAAAATTGTTTTACGTCATAAACGCACTTTAGTAGTAGCCAGCTTTTTAGTTTGGTTTTAAATTTACCAGTTTCTGTCTCTTCTTTATTGTTTACCGGAAGTTTATTATAAATTTTTACACTCATCGCGTAGCAGCCATTATGATAAAATGCAGTTTTAGGTATACGTTCTATAACTAGTCTATTAGAATTTCGATTGCTACGCAAGTATACCTCAGATGCATTTTTGTACATATGTAAATGTTTTTTTTACATGAACACTTGCTTCAAATATGTACATACCCGGTAAAGTTAGTATGTTAAGATCCCTAAACAAGGGCTTACAGGAATCATACCCTTTGTCCCCAGTTAGGGCTCTCACACACTTTTTTTGAACTATAAAAGCACTTTTTGAATAAGAGCTATTACCCCAAATTAATAATCCGTATCTTAATATTGTTGCAACACGATGTTCTTCTTAACCTATTTAAAACATATACAAATCTATTAATTTTATTACAAATTTCGTCAATATGAGCCATCCAATTACAATTACTATCTAATTTTATTCCCAGAAATTTCTTCTGTTCGTTTTCTTGCACTTTGTCATTATTATATCTTACGTCAAGATCTAGTTTCTTTCTACTATTACTATAGAATTGTAAATAACAGGTTTTTGCGATATTGACTTTCAAATTATTATTATGTAACCATGAAATGACATCATTTATTGCACATTTTATGTCGTTTTCATAATAATCTTTATTTCCATGATTATTTTTTATGATTAAAGATATGTCATCCGCAAACAAAATGCATGGGAATGGAGTTGAATCCGGTAAATCATTTACATAAATTACAAACAAAAAAGGTCCAAGAACACTTCCCTGAGGAACTCCAGCGTACTTAAGAACTAGTCGCGATCTGAATTTTGTCAAAATATTATTTTTATTAGGGCTTATAACTTCCACACACTGTTTTCTTGATGATAAGTATGACTTTATCCACTGCAATGTCAATCCTCTTATTCCATACTTTTCTAGCTTACGTAATAAGGTGTCATGGCAAACAAAGTCAAATGCTTTTGACATATCGAAAAATACACTTGTCACATTTACCTTATCATCTATTGCATCGGTGATTCTTTTTAATAGATCAAAACACGCCATCGTGGTTGATTTGCTTTGCTGAAAGCCATACTGTTCTTTTTTCATAAACTTGTTTTCATTAAAATAATGACTAAGCCTACTATGCATAGCTTTTTCAAAAATTTTTGAGAAAACTGACAAAATTGTTATTGGACGATAGTTATTAATATCTTTTTTATCACCTTGCTTAAATAAGGGCTTGATCAAAGATAGTTTTAATGACTCTGGAAAAGCACCTACTTCGAATGATAAATTTATGAAATATGTAAGTATAAGCGATAGTTCATCCTTGCAATATTTAATTACTTTTGTATTTACGCCATCATAACCTTCACTTCTAGAATTTTTTAAATTAACTATTAATGACTTTGTCTCCTCCAGAGTAATTGGACGTAAAAACATACTTTTGCACGGGCTTTTAATGTTATACAGGTGTGTTTCTTTCGCTTGCTTAAGGTTAACTATCCTTATCTGACTTTCATAATACTCACTAAAAGCATTAGCAATCTTCTGTGGAGATCTTAGACATTCATTATTCTTATTTATCATGTTTAAATAGTTGTCGTTCTCTTTTAACACTGCCTCTGATTTTATCATATTCCATGAACATTTTCCTTTATTCTTACTGGTATTAATTCGTTTAAAATAATTTATTCTTTTAGACACGTCAATACATTTTATTAGTAATTTGCTGTAAATTTTGTATTTTTGTTTATTCTCTTCAGTCTTTTCCTTATAATAACCAATTGTGAGTTTCCTTTTCATTAAACAACTAAGTCTCAAACCTTTTGTAATCCAGTTATTTTTATATTTCATGTCTAGTTTTTTTTATCTTAATCATCGGAAAGCATAGATTATAAAATAAGATAAAAAGGTCCATAAATTTATTGTATGCAGAATTGATATCCTTGTCCTCAAAAACTTCCTTAAAAGTAAGATTTTTTATACATTCACGAAACATATTAATGTAATATAAATTATAATTCCTTTTATATTCCCAAATATCATTTAACTTTTTTCTCTGCTTATGTACATCAATAGATAATATTTGCGCGGATTCATGATCTGATAAATATAACTTTTTAACACATGTTGTTGCATTCTTTATATTACTAAATATATGATCTATACAGTTGTTTCCACGCGTTGGTTCATTAATATGTACATATAAATTATAATTCGAAATGATATCATTTAATACAATTGTATTTTTACTATTTTCCAAGGTATTAATGTTAATGTTTCCAGCAATAATAATTCTTTTATTTTGATTATTTATTAATTTTGACAATAAGTTGTGTAGTTTAAAAAAGAATATATTCACATTTGAACCAGGTGTCCTATAGATGCATATTATGTAAAGGAATTTCTATTCCACAACATTCAAAATGCTCGGATTCTGTTAAATCTGAAATAAATTTTATTTCATTCCACTCTATATCTTTCTTTATCAAAATACATACACCACCTCTATTTTTTTACGACCATAGAAACTAGCTAATTTGTAACCATAAACATTATAATTATTATAATCACTTGCTTTTTAACAAATGTTTCCGTTAAGCATAAGACATCTATCGTGTATGCTCCTCTACGTGTAAATTTTTTAATGTTAATTCTAAAATATCCTTTTTGGAGCAAATGCCAGCTATATTTTGGTGTAAGATTGTGAATTTCATATTTAAATATTTTTCTTTATGGACGAAAGGAATCATGTGATACTTGTTTATAAGATTTTACAGAATGAAAATAATAAGTTATTAACCCTCTATTTTGTTTAGAATTTTTAGAGCTCTCGTTGATGATATTGCAATTTTCATTATTATGTCTAACATTCTTTTTATTCATTAAATTAAAATAGTAAGGTATAGTGCCCTTTATGAATTGACCTTTAGGTGAATTAGGATTAATTTTTGCGAGTTAATAGTTTTGTTGTGTGTCAATCTATTTCTTAATTTACTTAATGATAGAAATGATGTATCATAGTCAAAGCAATCTATATTAAAGTTTATTTTTCGACTCATATGCCACAAATATTCTTTTACGTTATAAAAATTACCACTAGATGTCAAAAAAGTACAATTATTATACAACCTAACTAAAGAAGCTATATTATCATTTAATGTTTTAGTATTCAAATAAGGATTATTTACGACTTCTAAAATATATACTCTACTACATTTACTTAACTTATAAAGCACCAAGCTTAAATCGTTTAATAATTTGATTGGGTTAGAATCATTCGCACCCGTCACAATCACAATCTTGTCGTCATAGTTTAAGTTCTTAATTATATGATTAGAGTAGTCCAACGAATCTGCACAAAGAGATTGTGGTTTTATAAATGACATAATTTTGTAGTTATTATCACCCCTAATTTCTCGATGCATGAGTAGTTTAGTCGCAAGTCCTGTCGCTTGTTCATCACCCAGTATATAAATTTTTTTTTGCTCTAATGTACTATGTGTTGATTGAGTTTCAATTTTCTGTTCTTTGAGTTGTTTTACCGGCTGTTTACTTTCAGTTTTTTCTGAAGTTCCATCTAGCGGACATTTATGGAAACTCAATTGAGAATCGGTTTGCCCATTTAACAATTTTGTTTTTGTCGTAATCAACATGTCCTGCTCATTTTCTTTGTTTAAATCAATACTTAATATAGAACTTCTCCTATTTTTCTTTTTTCTAAAAAAATCTAAAAAAAGATTGTTACATGTATCTCTTAGTTGAGAAATCGTCTTTTCATATTCCATATTCTTTTTTTTAAGTGAGCTATTCTCAAGCAATAGATTCTCTATTTCCAAATTAGCGCTAGCGAGTATGCTTTTAGTTCTTTCCAATTCTTCCTTTATGATTTCCAGTTCGAAATTGAATGGGGTTGAAATATCAGGTAAACTCTTTATGTCATATTCCGAATCAGATGAAGTCAACGAGGTATTCATCTGCGAGCTGGTACATGTATTATGTATTTTTTTTTTAGATCTTATTATCACATTTTTTTCATATTTGTGCTCATCAGTATTTTTCTCGATAGTTTCTTGCTCTTGTCTGTTTAAATTTGTAGTACACAT